ATAACAGAAATATAAAAATGAATAAAATTATTAGTGTACAATATATATATTTCATTATAGAGGGTAACAAAACGTCACCCCTTTCAAACGAACCTGCTATCATGGAATTGATTAAATTAGAGATATCTTTCATATTTTTTGAATTTTTAAAACAGTATTAGTTTGGACAGAGGGATTTTTCAGAATTTTAGGTGCAACATTTACCGAAATATATTGAAAATGTACCTCATAAAGAAAAAAGCGGAATAAATCGAAAGTTACCTAAATTTTGAAAGAACCATATGGCAATTTTTGTTTTGATCGTTGCTGCAACTTTCATAATGCAAATAAATAAGAAATACATATACGTATATTTTTTTAAGACAGTCATTAATAAAAGTCGTTAATTACTTGCAGATATAATTTTTAAATCATTTTGTATTATCTATCGAACATTTTATACTTTATTGCAAATATCACGACATATTTATGTATTTTAGTACTGTATCATAATGACGAACAATAATATCCTTTTAAATTACAATATTTTGAAATATTAATCATAATTATCAATTTTTTGTAAAGTAAAAAAAATCAACTTACAATACTTCTAAACTCTACATTCTAAAAATAACATCCTAGTTATTTACAACAACTGACCTGTTAATATACATAATTTACACTATATCTAAAATTTGACGGTTTTCCTTTTTGTTTCATTATTTTTTTAATTGCTTTAAATCTATTTATCCAACTGAGTATTAACATTATTGAAGACCAACAAAAACTATTCATTGACTTAATTTATCACTTGAACAACAATAGAAATGATTTAAAAAATCATACTGAAGACTAGTAGCTTTGGGATACACACCATTACAGTATTCTATAATTGTCTACAACATGGAATATGGAACCGTCAGTTGGAGGGGGAGAAAATGGATGTAAGGGGAGGGGATGAATTTTGTATAACACTAAAAAAATGTTTGGAGGAGTGGAGGCTACTGAAAAAACAAATATTGGAACAAAAACTAATGTGACCTAATCTAACATTGTTAAATTTCTTATGGAGTGACGTTTGCTTGGAGTTCAAATTGTACAATTGTATTAATGCAACAGCTGTACCCCTTTACCCACACCTAAAAACCTTTTTATTACTGTATAAAGTCATCCCCATCCGTTCCACCCATTCCCCACCTCCTCAGCCTGACTGTCCCATGTTGTAAACAATTGTCAAGTATTCAACTTGAAAATATAATTTGTAAAAAGACTCCTACTTACTACCTGTAAATTTAACTGTATATGTAAAAAATAAAACAGTGTTCTTACAAACTCTAAAAAGTAGTAAATAAATACAAAAGATAAAATATATACTGGTATCCACTATACTATATTGCCAAATAATTTTAAAAATCTATGTATTTGCAATACAAAATGCAATTCCTTGAAGCGAACATATTATATGGCACCAATAAAATGGAATGAAGAAATTAGGTAGGAATCGGTTTGTTATAATACTAAATAAAATGTATATGGAAACAGAGCAGACACTAACGTAAGTTTGTTATGTCCATTATTACTACACCTAAATTTGGCATGCTCAGGGAAATAATAATTTCAAAATTTTTAAAATATAACTGGGATTTTATTTCTTTCCAGTTGCTAAAACAATGAAATTAAATTATAGGATACTGTTCACTATAAAATTGGAATGTACTGTTATATTTTGTAAGTTAATAAACTGATTAATTTAGGAGGATAAACAACAACAAAATGTTAATATAACTTTGAATTCCAAAATCTTAACTTCTATTATTACATTTTTGCACGATCCAAAGAGTAGTCGCTTACTTTTCAATTAATTATTATGATTACTTGTAAAATCAACTCATTATACATTCTGCAAAAATCCTTTCCCTGAGTCAATACTTTTAACCAAAAACAATTAACGAAAGATACGTTCCTATTTTTCATTACTTTAAGTCAATTTCAGGGCTGTCAATTCTAAACGACCGGATCTGTCCATGTTCAACAAGAGGTGTTAGCAATTCATCATTATCCACCCTAATTCGTATTTTATTATCTGGGAATGTATTGGGTGGAACCTTCACGTCCCCATTATGGGGACTGACCAGGGGAGTGTCGAGAGGTGAATAAGGGACATATATTCGTAAGACATCGGGACTGGGATTATGAGGAGTGGCTCGGGGAGTGGAATGTGTGGAAAACAAGGGTTTATGTGCACCACTTGATGTGACTATGCCCGATCCTACGGAACTTGCCCCCCCTACTGAGTTATCTGACACGTTGCTGTGCGTGTCGAGACTGTTTTCATGTGCTTGTGAACGCGTTATGGTAGAGAATACTGATAGATCGGCCGTGGATGTCACACTTGTGTCAGCCAAAGAACGTTTCGAACCCATATGCTGGCAGTCTTCAAGGAGAGAACTGGTATCATCCATGCTGGGATCAAATGAAAATTTTGAGCCTGAAAAAGATAAAAACACTAAAGGAAAACATTGCAACAATAATATTTATAGAGCAAGCCGAAGCTCTTGGTAAATAGTAAAATTTCGTATCTTATTCTCAGATACTTCATGGTTGTAGGTATTATAGGATTAATTATATTTTATTACCAGTTTTTGTGGTATGATATCTTGGTATCTGATATCAATTTTGCTGTTTCTTCTTGTAACATTTTATCGATGCATCGTTATTACCATTTTTATCAGAATAACTATTTTCCGTCATAAATTAATCTTCTAATAACAGAAATATAAAAATGAATAAAATTATTAGTGTACAATATATATACATTTCATTATAGAGGGTAACAAAACGTCACCCCTTTCAAACGAACCTGCTATCATGGAATTGATTAAATTAGAGATATCTTTCATATTTTTTGAATTTTTAAAACAGTATTAGTTTGGACAGAGGGATTTTTCAGAATTTTAGGTGCAACATTTACCGAAATATATTGAAAATGTACCTCATAAAGAAAAAAGCGGAATAAATCGAAAGTTACCTAAATTTTGAAAGAACCATATGGCAATTTTTGTTTTGATCGTTGCTGCAACTTTCATAATGCAAATAAATAAGAAATACATATACGTATATTTTTTTAAGACAGTCATTAATAAAAGTCGTTAATTACTTGCAGATATAATTTTTAAATCATTTTGTATTATCTATCGAACATTTTATACTTTATTGCAAATATCACGACATATTTATGTATTTTAGTACTGTATCATAATGACGAACAATAATATCCTTTTAAATTACAATATTTTGAAATATTAATCATAATTATCAATTTTTTGTAAAGTAAAAAAAATCAACTTACAATACTTCTAAACTCTACATTCTAAA